AGAGCTCATCAACTCAGCCACAAGATCATGGAACCGACAAGTATTATCTGAGCATTTCATTCCTGCTGATGTTGAAGCGATTCTCAATATACCGCTCAGTACCAGGCAACAGGAGGACTTTTGGGCGTGGCACTACGACAAGAGAGGGATCTTCTCGGTCCGGTCAGCTTACAGGATGATCTGCGCCATCAAAACACAATGAGAGGATTGGCTTGAACATCGTCCTGATCATTCTAACGTGGCTGCGGACAAAAACTCTTGGTCTCAGCTATGGAAGGTGAAGGTACCCTCAAAGATAAGAGTTTTTGTATGGCGGTTGGCGCATACCTCTATCCCTACCGGCCTGGTGAGACATGTTAGACATATGGCAGAGTCCACCGCCTGCTCTATATGCGGAGCAATGGAGGATACATGGCGCCACTCGCTACTGAGTTGCCGCATGGCGAGATGCGTTTGGGCTCTGGAGGATGATGAACTGGTTGAGCATATGATATCAAACCAAACCGAAGATGCGAGACTATGGTTGTTCTGGCTGGTTGAGAATACAAATCAACGAGACCTAGCTCGAATTTTAGTGACCATGTGGGCGATTTGGTGGGCCAGGAGAAAAGCTATACACGAGGAGGAATTTCAGAGCCCGCTTTCCACTATGTCTTTCGTAAGCAGATTTTTGGAGGAGCTGGATATAGCTAACTCCCTAAAACCCTCGACTGCTGTCACACGAAGGAACCGACAACGAGCAAAGGTGTGGCTACCACCCCCGGGCGAGACCTTAAAGCTAAACTGTGATGGGGGGCTGTCAACCTTAGGAGACAAAGGAGCAGCAGGAGTTGTGTGTCGTGACAGATTTGGCAAGTTTCTTGGTACATCTGCAATGGTGTTCGATGGCCTCACTGACCCGGCAAGTCTTGAGGCTCATGCATGCAGCGAAGCACTAGCTCTAGCCCGAGACTTGAATCTTCAGGATCTAACCATTGCCACGGATTGTGCTGAAGTGATTGCAAACATTAGATCGTCAGGGGCTCCTTCTTATGCTCTTATCCTTCTTGAGATCCATACTAGCTGTAATGATTTTTCTTCTGTTGATTTCCGTTTTGAGAGTAGAGATAATAATTTTAAGGTCCACTTGCTTGTCAAGGGAGCTGCGTCTCTCGCAGTGGGTCGCCATGTGTGGCTAGGGGTTCTACCAGAGATTGCTTGTATTCCGGACGTTGTGAACTTTGAATAAAATCCTTAGTTTATCTTAAAAAAAAAAGCAAAGAAAACTGCCCAAAACTAGAGGTGGGTCCATCCCATGTACAACTCTAGTATACCGAAGACAACCGGAGATGGCGCTGATGCATAGCCTTGCACGTGTTTGCGCCGTAGTGTTCTCGTGCGACACATAGGAGGGTCCATCAAAGTGCACAAAGTAGCTTCATCTTTATGATAAATTGTCTACCGTTAATTTTGTTTGAAATTACCAAAGCATTATTATGGTATATAAAGATGAGTTTAAAGTCCCAAACGCCGAATTTTAACAACCGCTAAAAGTGAACTCTATAATCAAATTCACTTTTTCTAAAAAAAATGTTCACTTTATTATTTCGAGGAAACAAATCCACCAACATATGGTTTTTTTTAAGGAGCAACTAATTAACGAGCGCTCCTTCGTGAGTCTCGCAACGATCAGCGCCACTTAGCACGCTCACAGTCATTCGCCACGTGTCGCGCTCTGGACGCTCCTTTTGGATTTTGTTTTTTTTTTATTTTTACGCACGCGTTTTCGGCTTTTTAAAAGGTTTTTTTCCCGGGTTTTTTTGACATTTAGATTTTTTACCGGTCTTCCCTAGCTTTTCGACCAAAAAAAATTTGCGTAAAAAATGCATTTTTTTCGCGAGAGTCACGATTTTTTTTTCGCGAGAGGCACGGTTGTGCTTTCGCGAGAGGCATGGTCGTGCCTCTTGGAAACGGAAAAAAACGTGTTTTCTGTTTTTTTTTCTTCCGCGAGAGGCACGGTTTTGCTTCCGCGAGAGGCACGGTTGTGCTTTCGCGAGAGGCACAGGCGTGCCTCTTTCGGAAAGGGAAAAACGCGTTTTCTGTTTTTTTTCTTTCGCGAGAGGCACGGTTTTGCTTCCGCCAGAGGCATGTTGTGCTTTCGCAAGAGGCACGGGCGTGCCTCTTTCGGAAAGA